GAATGTGATTTGATCATTTGAACAAAAACTGAGACGTGTTAATGTTTTGTTGTGTCCCCCCCCCTCCCCCTCTGAATATGATTTGATCATTTGAACAAAAACTGAGACGTGTTAATGTTTTGTTGTGCCCCCCCCCTTTTTTTTTCACCTCCCCTTTTTTATTTTCCAATGAATGAGGAGAACAAAACACTCAACTCAAGGGGAACAACTCAACAACAATAAACATTGGCCTTCTCTTCCCACAGAGTGATGTCATGTATTTCTGTATCTCCAGACACAAAAGAGCTCTACATATTAATCGGGAGGGGTCTACAAAAAAAATGTTTCTTTCCACCACAATGTGTGTTGGTTTCTAATTAAAAATATACAATCCGTGGCAGGCAGAGAGCGACCCTTTGTTGTGACGAACACTAGAGAATATTTTCAAAAGGGCCAGACTTTTCACAAGAGAAATTTTTTTTAAATATTTTTAAAAAAGAATTAACGTGCCAGGATTTTGTTGCCTGGAAGGACACACGTACAAGCGTGATGAAAATTCTTCTACCATTTAAAATAAAACGTTGCTGTAAAAGGGGGGGGGGGTCGGGAAATGAGTATCAAAAATGAATCCTGCATGAAAAGATTGTCTCCATGACAATGGCAAACCGGGGTTTCTAGATTTCTAGAAGAGAAGAACGGTACCGGTATGAAAATAACAATTCTAGATCATGTTTAAGTTCATCATTAAATAATGTATTGGAAAAAAAAGTCAGTGAATTTACATTACAATGACACGAACAAAACACATCTAAAATTTTGTATGGTATTTACATGTGCAAGATGTGATACAACATTATTTCTACATCTGAACCAAGCTGGTCTCCAAAACACATGAACAAAACAAAAAGAGCTCCATGCTACATCTTGTCACTAACCTGTGTAACAAAAGAGATCACTTCAAGTGGTGACCTAGCTTGGTAATTACTAACATGATTAATTTAATGCCCAATAAAAACTATTTTTAATATTGACGATGCTCAATTGACAAGTTTTAAAAAAAAGAGTGGGAACCACTGTTCTAGACCAGCGTTCAGCAAACTATCTCAGGCCAGTGCCCTCTATGCATATGGAACATCAGGTTTAACCTTTCAGCAAACTATCTCAGGCCAGTGCCCTCTATGCATATGGAACATCAGGTTTAACCTTTCAGCAAACTATCTCAGGCCAGTGCCCTCTATGCATATGGAACATCAGGTTTAACCTTTCAGCAAACTATCTCAGGCCAGTGCCCTCTATGCATATGGAACATCAGGTTTAACCTTTCAGCAAACTATCTCAGGCCAGTGCCCTCTATGCATATGGAACATCAGGTTTAACCTTTCAGCAAACTATCTCAGGCCAGTGCCCTCTATGCATATGGGACATCAGGTTTAACCGCCACCGCAAGAAAACAAAAGCATCCCCCCGCCCACCTTTTATATATTTTTTTTTTTATCATGGGGTACTTTAGGCTACAAAAGACTGCCCCCAGAGCCCTGCCAGAAGCCCACCACAGAGACCTTGCCAGAAGCCCACGGAGCTCTGCCAGAAGCCCACAGAGCCCTGCCAGAAGCCCCCAGAATATGTAGAAGAATCCCACAGAGCCCTGCCAGAAGCCCACTGAGCCCTGTCAAAAGCCCACAGAGACCTTGCCAGAAGCCCAGAGCCCTGCCAGAAGCCCACAGAGCCCTGCCAGAAGCCCCAAGAGTATGTAGAAGAAGCCCACAGAGCTCTGCCAGATGCCCACAGAGCCCTGCCAGAAGCCCACAGAGAATAACTCACTGTACACCAGGCGGTAGTACTGTTCACTTTTCAGAACCAGTGATAAAGTACAAGAACACAATGAAATCCCTTTCATCATCGGGTTAAGGAAAATAATATGTTCAAATACACACATTTTTTTTGGAAGAAAACATTGAAGAAATTAGGGGGGGGGGGGGGGGGGGTTTACATTTTCCAGAATTCAAGCCATTTGGATGAAAAATGAAACGAGCAATTGTTAAACAATTCCTCAAAAATTGCATTTTTACTCCTCAAGTCAGTGGATCATTTCTAGACCTCATGTAACATAAGTCAAGATACCAGTTTTAGCATGCTTAATATAACAATTCAAAAAAAAAGAATAGTATGCAAAATATTACGTTGCTTTAAAAAAGGCATACAATAATACACCATGTAACAAGTTCACAATAGTAAACCACGTAACAAGTTCTCTTCAGAGTGTGAATCAGTCACTGCATATAAAATAACATAGCAGGTACCATTCAATAGAATTATTGCTTCTTACACCACTCACCCAAGACAAAATGTCATTCTTTATATGCATCAGCATTTGCGAAGGGCTACAAAATGTTACAGGTAATACATTACCACACAAAAAATGATTCTTTATTGAATATTAAAATTCAGAATTTTGCTTCTTTTATACCTCTACTTGTATTTTATCTGTGATCATGGCACACCAAAATATTGTTGTTTTGGCTTTTTTATAATTTATATTTAGAAAGCTTATTACAAAAATATTTGACTGTTCACACAAACCATTTACAGTACTTGAAATTTTAAATGATTAAGTTGTTAATTAAGAATGATCATCCCGTAGCTTACAATAAATGGTGCGGTAAAATAAGATTAAATGATGTGGCCAGGACAATAAATCAATCTTTTATGTCAAAGACGGGTGAGGGGGTGCAAGCAATGAGAAACATTTAGAATGATGCACTTCACATACCAGTAATATAAGTGGGCCATGAAATAAAGCTTGTAAAGTTGAAGGTAATTTCAATAAGCAAATCAAAACAAGAGAATATTCTCTGTGTGACCTTCAGTGAACTCACCAAATAACCAGATCTGGAGCATTTCATTAGAGCCATGAACAATAATATCTCAAACTGCGGCATTCAAGATGGGTATTGGGGAACTTCCAATATGTCGACATGACACCTGACTATTAAGTACAGTTATGTCTCATTTATAACACAACTGTTAATATCATAAAGTTAAAGTAGAAGAAGCGTTAAGCCAGATGAGGCATTCAGTAAGACAATCAAGTGTGAAAACATTAAGCAGCTAGAGTTGTATTTTTTGGCATGACATCTCAAATTCCACAGAATGCCAACCGCTTCCATCACACACAAACAGTGGTACAAACAGAAAGAAAAGTACCAAAAAAAAAAAATATTTTAATAAATTTATTTATTTCTCATGAAGGGATGAAAATATACAAAAATTAACATGGGTTTCTGTGAGGATGATTGGCTAACAGCTTGTAGCCAGCTTTAAGGACTTGTGTAGAAAAAAAAATTGTGCATCTTGAACATTAATTAATAGTAATAGTACCATATGAGCTATGAACAACAAAGAAATCCTAGTTGTGAATAATAAATTGTTAACTTCTTCCTACATAGTAGGCAAAGGGGGAGAAGCTCAAGTAAACCTGTAGCACCAGGTCATTGTGAGTTTAAGTTCCTAGTTAAAACGGGCTAGTAGAATTGTCACAGAAAGATAACATAGAAATTAGGATCCCCAAATTTTGAGCAAAATAATCACTTCTGTTACAAATGATGGTTCTACTCAAATCAATAACTATTTCACAGCTAAAAATCAAAATCGTTTGCTCATAAAGTAAGCTTTTCAAAGTTAAACATTGACTGAGGAAGTGTGTGGACAAAAATAAAAATGCTCTCAACTCTGCAATGGTTTGGACAAAATATTCAGTGAGAATTGAGAACAAATAACAAGTGAAACAATATAAAAATAGTCCTCCTCACTGATGCCTAACTATTCTGCTTTCATCAGTCTAGTAGACAAGAATATACAGCCTCCTTGAGTGTCAACTGAAGTAACAACATTTGACAAAACTGTGGGGCACAAGGAAAACCATATTTACATGAAAATGAGGAATTACTAGAAGAAAAAAATGTTTACACAACTCGCTAAAGTGCTCCCAACTTTTGGCAACACAAATGTCACGTGAGAGGTTTTAGATCAAAACTATTCTGTCAAACCATAACTAATTGCATCAATTGAAGTAAAATTTATTCAGTTCAAATAATTACAACAAATGTACTGATGTATTTGCTGCAACTGTTTATGTACAAATCCCACCCTACAATGCCTTTTACCTCACTTTTGTAAGAAAAATATACTATTTAAAAGAATATCTCCAAACAAACAAAACATCAGACTTTTACCTAAATCCCTGTGAAATAACACTTATTCTCTTGTATTTTATTTGCCAACCAGTAAAAGATATAATACTTTTTTTTTTTTTTTTTTTTTACAAACTTTTTATATTTCTAGAACAAGGCACCATTCCCCACAACCCACCCCACCCACATCATATTAAATTTTTTAGCAAGATAGATCCATGCCATTCAAACATTTTCAGATTTTGTACAAACACACGCATAAACCAAATTCCATGCTGCACATACTGACTTCCATACACGTCTCTCACTCATACTGCATTGGTGATACATAAAATTGCTAGAATTTTCTACAGCCAAATACAACTACGAGATTTTTATCATCACTGAAGCTTGGACTTTTTTCTGGCAATAGCATCTTCCACAGCCTTAAGCTGTTTGAGCAGCTCTTCTCTGCGAGAAGACATACTTTTCTTGGCTTTAGCCCCAGTCGCCGTAGCTGTTGGTGCACTTGCAGATGGAACTTTAGGTACAGATTTTGCAACAACTGGTTCTGGTGCCCGTGATTTGGTGCTGCTTGGCTGTTTCTGAGGGGAAACTGGGGGTTTGGCCCGAGGTATGCCAGTGGGTGGTGGAGGCTGAGGTATAGATGCTGGTGGAGGGGACTTGATTTTCTCTTGCCGCAATTGTATCTTTGCAGCTTTTTCTGTGGACAAGAAAGTTAGATGTAAGAGAGCAATCCCAATGAATTACAAGTTGAAATTGAAGACAAACTTAGAATTATTAAAATAATATTTTTCAAATGCAAGTGTTTTTGAAAGTTAAAGCACATACCAGTTGCTATCCTTAGTGCAGAAGCTTGAGGCAAAGGGATATTGAGACGTTTGGGAGCAGGCCCTCGAGGTGGTGATGAATCTCTCTCCGACAGCCGTCTTTTGTTATTGTGTGGAGGGGAGTCAAGAGGGTTTGGTCTATTGCCCAAAGAGGACTGCTGTTGCTGCAACAGTTAAGAACATACTTGATAAGTCTTTAAGTAAAAGTGTTTCCATTCGGTAACTTAAATGTCTGGAATTCAAATAATGTCTTCATTATAGATTTTTTAAATAACTGATGCCTCTTTTGAATCAGATGCACAAATAATTTCACAATGCAATAAGCATTGTTTAAAATTAAGTTTCAATGAACCACAATTTCTTCAAACTAGAGGCAAGAGGTAATTTCCTTCATAAAAATCTCTTCTAGCAATGAATGAACTTGTAGAAATTGCTTTACTTTCTTATGCATATCATTTTGCTTTACTTTCTAATGCTTATCATTAAAGTCCATTCATTAGCTATCTCTGGTGCTGAACACTTTATATCTACACGACACAGCATCAGTGGCACATATTTTTCATTTACATCCACACAACATCGCCTTAACACAGCGACAAGAAAATTCATGCACATGTTCTCTTTTACTGAGAACGTATTCTAATTTTTTTTTTCCTTCTAAATTGTCAAACCACAAATTTTAATTCAAAATTGTTTACAGTCCAATTCTCATCAAATTTAAAAGATAATAATTAAGTTTTTTTTTTTTTTTTTTTACACCAATAAATTGTTATTTTGTAAAAATTTTTTTTTCCTTCTAAATTGTCAAACCACAAATTTTAATTCAAAATTGTTTACAGTCCAATTTTTATCAAATTTAAAAGATAATAATTAAGTTTTTTTTTTTTTTTTTACACCAATAAATTGCTATTGTGTAAAAAATGGACAATTGCATTTGTCTCAAGAATGGACTCGAAAGATTAACTTGGTAGCAATGTAGGTTATTTATGCCAGCTCTAGTTTCCTATATTGAAATGAACTGAAGTAAAATAAATAGTCTTTCATGGCAAACTAAATGGGTTCATTGTCTTAAACATTAATTTCAATTAACCATCGAAAAAGATGTTAGGATAGAAGGGGCTTATTACTGTCTGCGCCATGTGGATATAAAGTGTTGTGATAAGGCTCCTGGTTACAACTTCTACACATTTACCTTAGGCAGCAAAGTAAGCTTGATATTGGACTTCTGTCCCACAACTTTCAAAGGGTCTTTTGCTTTCACCGGTGGTTGTGGTGCATTGCGACTAGCATATTTAGAATCATTTCTACCAGGTGGAGGACCAGGCTGAGAGATCTTTGGGTCACGTGGGTGAGGGATGCGATCTAGATTTATTGGGGAATGAGGTGGGAGAGGCTGACCTCTTTGTGACAGAGGTGGAATCTGGGGACCTTTAGAATGATCTTTGTGGCTGTTGGCTAGCAGATGGAAAACAAAGCTGTTTTAAAACCTCATTGTAAAAAAAATTATCTAATCAACATCTTTTGTCTATTAAAAGACAGAAAAACAGATTTTTGAAAGCAATGAAATATAAAATGGTTAATTTTAAAAGGTGAAATGAAAATTTGCTTTGAGAATTCAGAGTGTATGGCTGTAGCACCAATGTGCATAAAGGGATTTCTCCGTACTAAAGGTGAAGAAAACAAGACGTATATATTTTTTAAAATAAATTAAATGTACACAAAAAACATGAATAAAAACGTGCACCTACTTCTTTTTTTCTTAGCTGCCGCTGGTCCTCTTGGATTTTTCGTTGGAGGTCCAAGGTCTCTGTACAAGTGCTCAGAATCAGCACTTCCAGCAGATGAGCTGGAGGAGCTGCTCGATCGAGAACTGCCAGAACTAGATCTTGAGTGAGAAGATATGAATCTTCTGCGACTCCTAGAGCGAGATCTACTGGAACTGGATTGGCTGCTTGCACTTTTCGCTCTTGGCCTGCAAAAAATATGACAGTCAAAATTAATACATTTAACTTACACTTATTAATGAATAACAATTTTTTTTTTAAATCCTTAATGTCAGATTTACTTCAAATAGAGGAAATGCTTTTAGCATGGAAAGTTCTGTGAACCAAGTACAAGCAAGCTATTATAAAAAACACTTGATAATCTTAAATGATTACCTCACATAAGGCAAAGGTCTGTCTGGTGGAGAACGCATTCGATTTCTACCCGGCCTGTCATCCCTGCCACGATCTCTAATATCTCTACCCATCTCTCTGTCTGGGTAGCCTCCTCCATAATTGTTATAGTAGCCCCCATTACCACCTCCCCCACGGTAATTTCCTCGCTGTTGGTAGCCACCACCTCCTCCACCACCTCCTCCCCCACCCCGAGAGCGGTCATAGCCTCGACTTCCCCTGCGGTAGCTCTGATCATAGTTATTGTAGCCTCCACGTCCTCTCACTGAAACAGCACTTCTTGGTTGGTCTCTGTATTATATAGAAATTAATAATTTAACTACAAAGGCAATGAAAAAGAAATTACAATTTTTTTAAATTTGCAATAAAATGCATATAAATAACGTCAAAACAAAATTATAAAAGCTTTAGTAAAAATTACTACTTTTCAATAACTATTTTTTAGCTCTCAAATAGTCTAGGTTTTCTACCATTTTTTTTCTCCCTTATTTGGTACCTTTACAATCTGGCTTTTTTTTCAATGAAGAACATAGTGATAATAACATGTTATATATCATTGGATTCAGCATTGAATGATCTATTTATTGCTACCAAATCATGAGGTCAGGGTTAATTATGACTTTGATTTATAGCCAAAAATAATAGGTTTTTAGGTGTGCTAAATTTTCAAAAAAAATGTAAGCATACCACAAACAGGAGAAGGAAATAAATAAATATTGAGTCCTAAGTTAAAATATTTATTATATCAATCAATGTTATCCATTTTTTCAACACATAAAAAAATTCAAAAAAAGGTATGATCTGATCCCGGTGGGATCCCGATAGGATCCAGATCCAGAAGGGATTCCGATCCAGGTGGGTTCCCGATCAAAATGGATTCCCGATCCCGTTGGGTTCCTGGAACTGTTGGGTTCCCAATCCCATCGGTATCAATATAATGTACTTTGAGAGTTAAAGAAATATAACCGACGCTAAGGTCATTAACATATCTTACCTAGATGGTGACATATACCGGTCATGGCGATCTACACCAGGAGGGGCAGGCTCTGGCGATCTTGAACGGCTGATAAAGAAAACAGATTAGGTCAATTGAAAAGAGGAAAAGGAAAATCAATTACTTTTTTTAAATTCAGAATTCATTGTTGTTTGGGACAAAGTTCACATGAGGTGCTATAATTTTATCTTTTTTAAACTTGCCATAATTAACTGAAGTTATTGTAAATCAATTACTTTTTTTAAATTCAGAATTCATTGTTGTTTGGGACAAAGTTCACATGAGGTGCTATAATTTTATCTTTTTTAAACTTGCCATAATTAACTGAAGTTATTGTAAATTTTAAAAAAATTTATGCAAACAAAATCTGCCGTGAGTACAGAAACTTTTGTAAAAAATGCAACAACTCTAAATCTTATAATATTATAATACAAATTTACAAATATTCAAAAGCTAATTTAAATTAAGATCATGATAAAATGCAAATGATAATCTGTTTCTGAAATCAAAGAGATCAAATTTGACAAACTAAATTCAAACCAATGAGAACAACAATTTATTAAAATGAACAAGTATTGTTCAAAAGCCAAAAGTCAACGCTGGATATTTTGTTTTGTCTAGGAAATACCGTATTTTCTTCGGCACAATTGTAACAACTTTAGAAATGTTTTGCTTCCATATTCTGTATGAATGAAAGATATTATGGCCAACTTTATACAATAACAAGTTAGTTTCATCAAGACCAAGTGTTTAAAGGAAACCAGCATTTTACAAGTTAAAAGGGTGAAGCTTTATTAATGATTTTTATACAGTGTTTAATTCAGCAAAGAAAAGAAACACATGAAGGAACTATTGAAAAACTTTCTTGTTCAACAGGTCAGTCATTTCTGCCCATTTTATTTGAAGATGTTCTTATCTTAGTTTTTTCCCTTCTTTATAGTTTTAATACAGTATTTCATTGATAATCCAGACTGTGGTTTGACCCAATTTGCGTATTAACTTCTCTGGATTTTCCAATCTATAAGTGCACCAAATTTTTTCCAAGTTAATTAAATATAAAAATATTAAAGAAGCTTACAATTAATATTTAATTGTATAACTATAAAGAAACACACAAACTCAACTAGTCAAAACCTACAGCATTGTATTTCAGATCCCATAAACCTAGATCAACACTCTGAATATAAATATATGTTGCAAATATTGAAGTCATGATTTGCCAGCTAAATTATGAACGGTTAATGTCATGGAAGCACCAAAGAAAATTTTTATTGGTTGTGTTTATTGTCATGTTTAGAGATGCAAATGAAGTCACTTTGCATCATTTTTGTAATTCTCGATCCGCAGTTTTTCAGTTTGACAAACGGGTCTGGATTATCTATATCTTACAGAATATACATTTTAGATCAATTAATGGTGTGGTATATCCCTGCCATTAGCCTTTCTATTATTTGTATAGCTGGCGGCGAGCATTAAAGTTATTGACTGTAAAGTATGTTCATTTCTTACAAGAAAAATATAATCATCTAAAAAGCTGAACTTGAAAGTTTCCTAATAGGTTCTTACCTTGAGCTGCCAGATGATCCACTGAAAGACTGACTACTACGTGAAGACCCTGAAGATGAGCCTGAACTTGACCTGCAGAATAGATGTTTAAACTTAAAATCCATGTATCTTATTTTGTTCGATATCACTAAGAGTCCTTCAAGTATCTTATGAATAATAATTATTACAAGGCATAACTATAACATACATTGAAAATTAGTACTCAGGGATACATGGAATGTCTGTGCACCATTATCAGTCAAATTAGGGTAAATTATCGTGGGTTGGTATGTGACCATTGTTAGTCAAATTAAAGCTCCATAGGAATTAGATGTTGTGAGTGGGTCTGTGCACCATTGTTGGTCAAATTAGAGCTCCATATTAATTAGCTATAATAGGTGGGTCTGTGCATCACTGTTAGTCAAATAATAGCTCTATAGAAATTATCTATGGTTAACTATGGTGAAAATTACTTCACTAGAATCAATGGTTAAGTTTAAAAAGTCACGGACAGAATAAACAATTTACAAATTTCCTTCAAAAGTGAAAGACTTTTTAATATACCTTGATGAATCACTGACAGATCTATGTGTTCTTCTACCTCTTGAGTGATTTCTGGGTTTAATCTTCAGCATTTGGGGAGATTTAGACCTAGATCAAATAATATATGTAATTATTATTTACTTTTTAATTCCAGTAAAGCTAAGTAAAAGAAAAAAATATCTATACGTCTGCAGATTATGTATATTAAATTTTACAAAAAAATACATGATTTAAAAAAAACAGAACAAAATATTAAAAGCAAGATAAATATGGTCAATAAAGCTCCAAGATAATTTGAAAATCTTAACATATTTAAGTGTTAAAATAGAAAGTTATAGTAACACTCACTATAGATTATTGTTTTCCCACAATTTTATGAAAATTAACTCTTTATTCTTTTTCATATCAATATTTTTAAACATGAGTATGCAAAAAAAAAGGCACTGACATAAAGAACATTCAATTTCTAACCTTCTCCAAGGATCTGTCCATTCATCTGGCCGTTTCACAGGAGATGGATATTCATGCGATACTGGTGGAGGTGGGGGTTCTACTCTAAAAGGTTCTCTCCTTTCAACCCTGTCTCGACCAAATCTGATAATTATGAATTAGATATACATCCATAATTAGGAAAGAATAGCATGTTTATAAGATACATACTTCAAATAAAATCCTTAGCATATTTGTAAAAAATTAAGAGGGTAAAAATTTACACAACCTAAAATTGCATGTCTGATTATTGCATAATGAACAACTCACTTGTCAATAGGTGGGCTGAAGGGGCGACTGAATCTAGAGGGTGGCATCATGAGAGGTTTATCCTGAAATGAAATAATAACAATAAATGAAGCGCTTATTCGATTAGATTAAAATGAGAAGCTGGGTGCCAATCAGTAAATAAATACAAACCAAATGTACAACAGTCTCTGACCACCCCTGCTGTTGGGTTGAAAAGGCTTTTTGGAAGCTAGCCAATGCAGAAGTAACATGCCATATAACCATAAAACAAATTATAAAATTAAAAATACATTGTAATAAACCATAAAAAGCTAGAGCCTTATAAAATAAGAAAACAAAACCAAAAGTCTTAATTTTTAAGATATTTTACCCAAATAAAATTATGTATAAAAAAACAAAATGTAGTTCCATTCAAGAAGCCAGGTGAAGGTGTGATACTGTTTTCTTAACAAAACTTAAATTACTAACCAATGGAAAAAAAAAAATGAATATGTAATTAATCATATGAACTTAACATAAATAACAGAAGAAATTCAGAACAGATTGTTTAATATGTCCATGGGTTTTTTTTTTGGTGGATTGTGTAATGGTGATCATAAATGATCAAATTTTTAAAAAAGATATAAAATAATCATGGTAAGTGGATTACAGTTACAGATTTACTAACCCGGTATGGGGGTGAAAAGGAATTTTCTCTGTGGTATCGAACTTCGAAGTTCTCATAATGTCCAGTTTGCCAAGGATCTCTTGGTATCTTGTAATACTCATCTTCTTCGTAGCTAAAAAAATTTAATTCAAAATTATATATTGTTAGCCACAGTATGGGAAAAAATATTTAACAATGATTATTTTTACTGGATCTCACACAAAATAAAATTTGAATTTAATCACACAAAAAATCTACTACAAATTTAAAACTTACGCTTGCTGATCATAATATGGATCTTTGGGAATGATTTTTGGCATTCTTTCATTCTCTTTATTTAGCTCTCTCTCTTCATCAACTGATAAATTTAAACGCTTTTCCTCAAAATCGGGCTCAAGTTCTTTACGCTCATTAGCTTTCTTTCTTTGCTGAAATACATCCAAAGATTCAAAATAAAAATAACTGTTTTTGATTATAAATTACAATAATAAATAAACAGTATACACTATTGTGATAAAATAAACTTTAATATACTATTTCCATATTAAGCCAGCCAAATAGATACCTCTTTAGCAATACGTAATCCCCTTTCCCAAGCTGTCTCAACGGGTGGAATGTCTGGCACTGGAGGCGGTGGCAGTTCTATGGGCTCTTCAGGCTGCTGCAATATGATGGATAAAGACAATTTTAGTTGTACACTCCTTCACCCAAGAACAAGTTAGACAGTCTCCAAGGCAAAATAGCATATTTTCCTGTCTACATATTTTTAATGATTCTTTTTTATTTTTCACTAAAATACACTCTTACAATGAACTTTAAAAAAAAATAAAATGAATGTATAAATTTAAAAACAAACCTCTGGCCATTGTCCAGGAAGCCCAATTCTGGCTCTTACTCCTGTAGGCTTAAACCCTGGAATTTCTATCATCTGATAATTCCCTGATATGAATAAAAAACAATTTTTTTTTTAAAAACTTAAATCAAGCAACAAATCTGCTGCTACATGTTCACATCAATTAAATTAAACCCTCCAAAATATAGAAAAATTTAAAAATCACCATATTAAAAAAATAATTTAAATCTATGATATAAAAGATGTAAAATAAAAGCTATCAAATTCAGTATTTAAGTAGAAGCAATAAACATATTTTAATGAGACTTATTTATACACAAAAATACTAAAAAATTAAAATGGAATAAAGCTTACCTTTATCATTTACACCAGGGTGTAAAAACCTACAATTGACACCCCAAGTACAGTTGCCTCTCTGGAAAAATCTGCACATAGGTTTCACAAAAGGCTTCTTACTCCCTGGCTCTTTTATTTCCCCTTCTTCACAATCATCATCCTAAACACATTAATAAAAACATTGTATTTTTAAAAATAATTTTTATTTAACTAACAAATTACATTACTGTGTGTTTAAATATGAAAAATAAGTAATGAGAAAAAAAACAGAACATTAATAAGCAAAGAATAATAAAACAATGGATGTCCAACGGAAAACGAAAAGAAAAAAACACCATCTGCAGTAAGATTATTTTTTTAATTTAAATATACTTTTCTATTATATTAATTACACTCACACTTAATTCTCCTTCATCTTTATCAGAATGGCCACCCTGAAATCATAATGGTTATGTATGATTATTTTTCATCACATCAAACAATAATATGCTTATGCCCTACTAAGTAAAATATGCTTATGCCCTACCAAGTAAAACATACTTATGCCCTTAAATATTTTACATCAGACACTATACAGTTTCTGGTTTATTTTATATATCTTTAACTTAATGTTTTAATTATTGTATTTATTGGCTTTTAACACGCCCCCGCATATAACACGCACCTCAATTTAAGAAGGAAATTTCAGGGAAAAAACTAAATATTATATCGGCGTATAACGCGCACATATTTGCCCCATATTTTCAGGGAGAAAAAGTGAGTGTAATACGCCAATAAATACGGTGGTTGCAAAATGTCTTTAAAAATAAAAACTACACGTTCCTTTATTATTAACATTCTTCTAAGAACTTTTTTCAAATTTACTTTTGTATTTTGTATACATATTAAGAGGGGAAAATCGCTACAACAAGATAATTGGGGTCCACAAAATGAGATCTTGTTAAACACGGTTTGCCGTTCGCAATACTTTTATGTGACTAACTGCTATCGATTTGAAAAGAATTCATGTAAAAATGTATAAAAGAAGTTTCAAGAGCTGTTCAACTATCAAATTTTTTATTTAGCAGTGCTCCCCTGTACATGATATACTGGCTTTCGCACTTTCAAAAAGTAATAATTGTTTTTGACTTTATTAGGCATGCATGATGCATGTATTACTCTCACAAAAAAAAAGGAATATTTTCATAATCCCCTAACCTTGTGTTATATCCATTCACTTTTGGACAGCATTTCTCAGCTTTTTGCGTATGTACAGATTGAATCCCCACCCCCACCCCCCAAAAAAAGCCATCATTTTCAATTTATTTAAAGACAACTAGGACGTACATAAAACTTAACAAAATCACAGGCTTCATACCCTTTTTGCTAATGGCCGTTTGGCAAAACGAGTAATAAGATACATGTGCCTCAACTATATCTTTATAATAAACTATCTTAATTTCAGCCTAACAATAAAAAATTACATCATACACAAGGCTCATGCATATGGTTGACTTTTTACTAGGCATAATAGATAAATTCTAAAACATTGTGATGATATTTTTTGCTATTACTATTACCCTGTAGTTGAATTTGATAGTAACCATATTTTGTAGTTCTAATAGTAAGAGGGCATAGAAATTTTTGAAATAAATTGCAAGTTTGATTTGATAGGAATAGGCAAAATAGAAATTTTTTTAAGGTTTAGAATAAACCTTTTCATGGACTGTCAAAATCCAGAATAATTCATGCAAAATATGTGCTAATGTAAACACACTTTCTACTCATATCCACACACCCCCCCCTCCCCTCAAGCAAAATCTCCTTACTCAATCATTCAAGCAAATATTTAATAAATGGAAATCCCTTATATGTTAACACACACAAACCTATTACCTCATCGAGCTCTCCCTCCTCACCATCATCTTTCAGTTTTGGCTCAGCGGAGAGTTCCTCCGATTTACCTTCACCTTCTTCGCCTTCATTTTCTTCATAATCAAGTTCTACCTGATGCTCATTAAAATTTGTTGCAACTTTCTTTTTATCAGACTCAGCATCTCTTGTTATAGAACTAGTACAAGAGTTTGATTCATCTGAGAGTTTTAGAGATGGTCTGTTTGACTTTAAAGGACTATCTGACACAAGCCCTCCATGCTCCATGTTTTCCTCATCAGAAATTGTCTCCATGTAATCCCCGCTTCCCTTTTTAAGGCCTTGATTCAATCCTAAATGCATTTTATTTATAGACATGTTTTTTTGAGAAAGTTCTGCCCCCAATTCTCCTTCTTCGTCAGAGTCTATAGATTCAAAGTTATTGCCAGATTTAACCCCACTGTCACCTGGTTTAGAGTCATCATCGCCACTTGGCAATTCTCCATCTGTGTCACTGCCTTCATCAGCTGAAATTGGTTCAACCTCACCCAAGAGCCCTCCTTGTTCTGATACAGGAGATGACATTTCAACAGGACTTTGAATTTCTCCGGCTTCTCCGTCTCCATCAAGTCCTAGTGCATTGCCCTCTCCTTGATCTATGTCCTCCTCATCTGATATTGGTTCAGCCTCCAAAGGAGGTAAATTTGTAACTGCCTCAGTATGAGATAAAGACTCTTCTCTTTCTCTATTTGTTATCCTGTGTAGATCCGATGAACTAAGATTGGAGATCTCTAACATGTCAGGGTTTACAGGGGCAACTATTCTGTGAGTAGCAATTGGATCAAGTTCATGCTGAGCATTAAACTCATCCAGACCAGATGGACCATCTTCTTCTGAACTGACTTCCTCCCCTCCTATTAAGGTTAAGTGTGATGGTATAACAGATGCACCCTGTGAAGCATCAGGTAACAATTCATCATCAGAAACAGCCTCCAAATCTTCACTTGGCCCTTTGGATTCACGGTTAGTATCATCATCATCTCCTTCACTTTTACCAACAGCATCTTCTAATTTCAGATCAATTATTTCCCTATCATCACTTGACAAGGTACCCCTGGATTCCTCATTTACCAAATGAGAATTGGACACAGATGGAGCTTCCTGATTTGACTGAGGCGATTCCATGAATACCTCTGCACTAGTTGGCCCTGTATTTTTTAATGCATTAGGGTTACATATGGAAAGTTGAGTGGACTCCTCCAGACTTTCACCAGAATCAATATCCAACTCATCATCACTGATATCTTCCCTACCATCAGAGGGTGCGGGTGGTGCACTTACAGAATTTGCATCTTCCCTGATGCCTGTCAAAGATTTTTCTTCTAGTGTGCTCTCAGTTGATGACTTTTTAAAGATGAGATCAGAAACTGACTCCAGGGGATTAGTGGCTATTGATAGTGTAGGTGATTGGTCAGCTTCTGCAGCTGATTCCTCTGCAGCTGGAGAAAGAGGTTCGAGAATTATTTCCCTTTCAGAACACTCACTATTGGTATCAGTGGATGGGGAAAGCTTGGTGACGATGGGATCTTTGTCCTCAGTACTTTCATATTTCAATTTATTATCTATCTCTGTATTAGCACTACTTTTATTATCTAAATCACCATCTTTTTGAAATTCAACAACAATGTCAACAATTTTGGGAACATTAATAGCTTTGTTAATGGACTTTTGAAACTCTGCTTTTTCATTGTCATCAGATTTAGTTTCAATAATTAATTTAGTTTCTCCAGCAGAAATATCAGATAGCACAGTATGAACTTCATCCTTGCTGGATGCATTTGAATCATTTTCTTTCAAAAGGGTTGAAATGTCTTCCTTTACTTTGTCACCTCCATCTTCAGTGCTAGCCACTTCTTTGCTTCGGTTCTCTTCAAACTCCATTAAGAGTCTGAAATACAAACAGTTTGAACAGGTCAATAATTAAGAAATAGATTAAAGATAATAATATAATAACCAGGGCATACAATTTGTGTTCAAATTAATTTTTTAAATCCAAAATTGAAAATACATTATTTATGAAGCCAGATTAAAAACAGTTCTAGCATATATTTATGGGCAATAATAATCAAATGATAAATCTCATGTCATATCAATCTATTAATTAGATTATGACTCAAATATAAAACATTTTTATGCACATGAAGAATTCCTTCATTCTGATAGAAATTTTATTAACATATTCTTTGGGCTTGTACCGTAGCAGAAATCTGATGGTTGCAAAACTTGGCAATAGCACATGTAGATAAATATAAACAGTGTGAACACCAACGTTTGATATCCCTGTCGCCGGAGATTGTAAACATCAACAACTAGTCAGTTCACCACTTAGCTTTGTGGCTCTAACAAATATGTAGTGTGAACATACCTTTAATGATCCATTACAGTTTTACAGATGTATTTAAATAGATCAGTTTGCAGTATGAAGGACAATCACTAAAGTGAATTAAGTGAAACTTGAAACTGAACTGACATTAAACTCACTCAAAAGATCAGTGAATTTAGAAACTTAAAAGCACATTTCTACTGTGAACTAATAATCTATTCTGTCCAAATCAGATATTCTTAAGACTTATTAACTTATAACTTATTATGACATTTGTCCAGGGCCTATTATAACTATTATAGTTTAGTAAGTTTTACTAATAGTAATAGACTTAGAATAAACGTGGCTTGTTTGTATCACTTGTGTGCATTTTTTGATTGATGAAGCCTAAATAAGTCTTAACACTTGGCCCATGGAACCCTTCTGACACCTCTGGCACATGGTTCTACCCCTTTTTATGCCCCAGTTATTTTTCATTTGCTACAGACACTGTAATAGGCCCCCGTTTATGACCTAGGGCCTTTTCTTAAGCTGGGTGTTACTGAGAAAGTTGTCTGCATACCCATTCGTCTCTCTCATAAACATTTGAGTGATATTTAGTGTAAAAAATGCATAAATTACTCAAATGTGGTAGTTTATGTCTTATTTATAGGACATATGTTGTCTAAAAATTCAGAGGGATCATCTCTTTCTAGTTGAAGACCCTTAATACTAACCAAAGGTTCAAAAAATTAGTGTGAACATCATCATTTTGATAGTATAGTCTTCATTACTTTACTGGTTGTTTTTATCAGTGTCAGATTCACTGCTAGAATATCAAAATCACTAAGGATAGTTTTCAGTGTCACTGTCCGACATTTTTTAAATTTTACAGTATTACGTGCCACACAAAAAAAAATTACTAAACAGAACTAAAACTAATCCTAAATCAACAAAGGCCGCCATTACAATGCGGGGATGTGCAGGAATACGTAAGAATCCATCTGATTCACTCATTCACTGGTACGAAGACTAGCCAGCCAATCTCGAGGCATGATTTATCGGGCCGATAGATCAGACATCCATCTTTTTTCTACACTATCCTGGGCCGATAGATTCGGCCCATCCGTCCCAGGAGGGTTAAGTAAATTCTTAAGATAAGCTTAAATTTTAGGCAGCCCTTTTTTATTAATAATATTATAAATTATTAAGTTCCTCTAGGGCTAAGCCTAGCTAAAAAGGACAACCTCAATTAATATGAAGTGACTAACATCTGATAGGTATATATCTTAAAAAATCTTTTTTTTTTTAATTTTCATAAGTCTACACAACAATTTCTTTCAATTTTTTTTTAACATTTTGGCTTTGGGTAACTTTTTGGTCAAGTTTTTTAATATATTTTTACATTTGTTGCACATGTCGTTGCATTAAACACAGACTAAATCCTGAAATATGAAGCGCGATATTTCTTTGTTTGAAGCATACCTTCAAAGTTCACCTGATTAAATTTAATTTGTTAACAGCCGTTAACCGTTGTACAAAAACAAATTAGCTAAGAAAAAATTAACACCTTTCCATTCTATGTAGAGGCAGCCATTGCGTGCATATGATTGGTTCCAACGAATGTCATGTGACCAACAGGAAGTGTCAATATATATATTAAATACCACGATGGCCTTTGCTAGAACTTAACATTAAAAACTAATTTGTTGTTAAAGAATTTTCATTGCATACATAGTAGTTTCCTTTAAAAATAAAACAAAAATTAACGATATATTAATATCAATTATTAATTAATTTAAAAATATTTTGACATTTATATTGATGTATATCCTCGTGCTATTAATTTCATTATTGATATTAGAAATGTCTGAAAAGTAAATTACCTGGTAGCTTCAGAACGTTTGTCAACATGGATGTCGAAGAGCTACTTTCGTTTAAGGTTCTCCTACACTTGACAAGGCTTTCTTTCTTTTCAACTACATATTAGTACTCAGCATCATATATCTGTATAATGATTATTGTAAACCTAAACATTATGGTTATTTTAATGGGACATGTCATAAGATTGTGTGCATGGGAAGCGTTTTGTCTTTGATATGGCCAACTACTTTAGCTGAACTGACAGTCTGGCTCCACACTAAACTTAAACTATAGTAAAAAATTTTAGTCAAAAATTTAAACATTTTGTAAAAATAAACCAATGGCATAGTTGAATAGAGCTAATTTTTTACAGAATTATAACACCAAAATCATATTTTTAGCTGTTGTAGTTTTAAAGTTATGAATTTTTAAAGTACGACTTGGTTTATCCTTTTTTAACATGGACTGACTGCATCTCCACATTCTGTGACCTCATTCCGCTAATCGCGTCATGCGCAATGACTATATAGTTTATATAAGGCAACACATTCCCTTATCACTAAAATACTGTTTAGGGTCGACTTATTTTAAACTTTCAACTTTGGCACATGAATAATTAATTAAAGCTTTCCCTGACCAATGGTTTAATAGTTTTTGCACACTGCTAACTCTTATGAATGAAACTCTGAGATAGTACTAAGATATAGCCGTTATGCAAGTGGCTGTGAATGGTTGCCAATGAAAACGTGTTGCACAGGGAAAATTCTGATCATTTATAATATGGACTCTACAGGGTTTTTAAAGCTCAAATTAAAACATTCCAGTTTAAATGTCTTCAAAATGCATTCTAAAACACAAAATATAAAATATTTTGATGTATATAGTGGTAATAATTAAATATTTCCTAAGTATCGGCAACTTCCGCCATTAAAAAGGGGGCCTGGCCCACGCCATGTCGAAATTAGGCTGAGCCACCTTATGGTGATATGGGTCACTGGGAGAAGCGTAACGAACGTGGGACACAACCTACATAAATGAAACTTGGCACAGACATAGATCAATATCTAATGCTTATGCAGATTTAATCAAAAAGGGCCTTAACTTATTATTTCACAAAAAATTTTGTATGCGAAGATGCCTTATATGTACCAAAGATTTTCAAAATAAAGATCGATTGAAAAAGCAAAATAGCTGGCTAGAAATATAGGCCAAGATGTCTTCTAAATTATAAGGCCGGCAACAGAACTCAAATATATGTCGAAAGAACTAATTCAATAATAAATAGACACACACATCGGAAAATTAAAAACTCTGATTTTTCGGCGCCGACGCCCATTTCCGATACACAAAAAGTAGTAGTCTCCCTTGTTTCATCAAAGTATCTAAACTATAGTATGATTCTGTAAATCATTTATTGAAATAAATCGTTCTTTACCGTCCTAAATTCAACTAAGCCAAAATCCAAAGTGTTAATTTACTAAGTGAAGTCACTTCTCTTCAGTCCTTGGCCTATATAAAGCCCCCATCCTCCATACACAATAATCTAGACGCCTTACATTACATTTACATAGTAATTGTCCTAATGCCTCATGAATGGATGCAGGACTTATTCCTTTCAATTTCACTAAATTTTTACTGTAAATAAGCTAGAAATATCGTTAATGAAATTAGGATTACAAACTAATATAAAAATAGTCCATGTCACAGAGAAAGCAATCAGCACCCACCCCCTTTTTGCGCTCCAACTGCCAAACCGGCTATTGTTGAGAATCATGCCCATGATGTCATTAGCGTGTTTATTATAGTTGCAGTGAATTAGTATTAGGATTTAGGTTAGGTTGAGGGATCGATTTAGGGTTCAGGTTAGGCATAGGGATCGATTTAGGGTTCAGGTTAGGCATAGGGATCGATTTAGGGATACATTAGTGACATAATTAACTGGTTGTGTCAACCAAGATGGCAGCCATCGGAGGCATTCTTTTCCCTTATTGCAGTGGTCAACAATTTATGCCCTGACCTGTTAGCCAATCCAGCCATCTGCCCCTTTTTTATTTGGCCTGTGAGCTAAGAAACAATTTTTAAATTCTTTAAATTTTTAAGTAGTGGTACCAGGTACATGTTATTTTGGAATCATATGTACCGGTAACATTCAAATTTTTTAATATTTCGCATGCTATTTGATTCTTGAGGGCCTTTTTTGAGACACAGCCCAGCTGTAATTTGGCAATGCTCTTATCTTTCTACCACACTAACAAAATCAACTATCCCGCTTCCACCCATCCTCTAAACTACAATAAAAATGGCCTCTTCCATTCCTTACAAACATTTGTGTTGTTCACTTACATTTATATTAACATCTAATCAGTTTATTAATGTTAATGTATTCTTATTTACATGATACCTGTCTGGGTTAGTTATGTTAAGACCAAGAGTGTACTTTACCCCTACCCCCACCATCTTTTCATGTTTTTAGTCAAAGCTAGTTTCAAAACCATAAAACCATCTTTTATCACCTGCCTCTAAGTCTAAGCCAATGTATCCTTTCTCCTAGTGACATAATTAGACATTCATATCACCTTAAAATCATTAAGTTTCTAATTAATAAGTTGTCATCTTGTCTAATTTAAATGACTGCGATTACAACCACACCAATTTACTACAACTGCTTACCTGTTTATATTTTTTTCAAGTCAAATTTTTTCTACTATCTTTTAAACCTTTGAAAGCCCTAAAATAATTTATTTAACATTGTTGTGTTTAAAAAAACAAAAAAAAATTATATAAAATAGATTTTTTGTAAAATTTACCTACTACCAGCTGATAAAAGAATATATTTCTGTCTTGATAAGTTGAAATCATATTGACATCTAGAAAGCATTATGTTTAGGCTGATTAATCTGGCAGAAGAAGCCAAGTACTCAGAAAAACAGCCATTACCAAACTGATTACCGGTATCTAAAGATTAATTGGTGCACCTTAGTCACCAGACCAGGCAATTCTGCATCAAACTTAAAACTACAGTTGTATTCTTATTTTGACCTATGATTATTAAGAGTACTGGTATCAAAAGTAAAGCAGTTGCATTTTTATTCTGGTGTAAATTCTTAAAGCTCTTTCGCTATTAAATAATTTGTGTTAAACATTAAATATACTCTATTTCACTTACAAAACTGACACATTTCTATGATTTCTTAGCCCGAAAAGCCAACATTTGAATCTAAAAATAAAAGAGCCAAAGAAGATGATGGAGAGGAATATAGAAGAAAGAGACCTCGAAGTGAGACCAACAATACCTCCTCTTCAATTGACAAAGTCCAAATGTCAGAAGAAGAAAAAGAAAAAATAAGACAAATGGTTGAAGCAGAGCCCGATGTAAGTCCTTTCAACTGCTTATTTACATTTTGTGTGTGTAAATATTGTTAAATTATTACTATTCAGGTTATTAAACGTGTTTGTTTTTTTTTGTATGTGGGTAAATTTGTACTTGTACAAATCATTTTAACACATTTTTAACATTTTTTATTACTCATTTTCCTAGGCAGAAGCCATGGATGAAACAAGTTTCAAAAAGTTACTGTTGCAGTTTGAGAAGCGTGTTTACAAGAACCAAGAAATGAGAATAAAATTTCCAGATTTACCAGAAAAGTATAATTTCTTTCAGTAGTTATGACATCAGGATGAATGTGTTCCCTCCCCCAGTTTTGTGTGCCATGACTATTCTTCTGTTGTTAATAATATTTTTTCTTTTAATTAAATACAAACTTTTTCTTGAAATGATTAGCCACAGACCATTATAGCAGGATGTTAAAGTTATATTTATTGGTTTTTATTAACTATATAGTCTTTAAAACTGAAATTTTATATACACTTAAAAATGCTTAGAAGCTACCAGAAATCACAAGCCATGGTTTCTGAATTTGGCTAGTTTTTAATTTACTTCTCATGGCAGTGGTGCCCTTACTTGTTTCAAGAAAAATGTTCTTGTAAGATTTTACTTGTTTCAAGAAAAATATTCTTGTAAGATTTTACTTGTTTCAAGAAAAATGTTCTTGTAAGAATATTTGTTTTGCAAAACCTTTATAAAATTTATTAAATCTAACATAAACTTTGTAAATGAATAAATAACTTTATCCTTGTTATCTTTTATTGTAGTCTGAAAATGTATTTCACAGGTTCATGGAATCTGAAATAGAATTAAATGAGATTATTCATGAGATGCATGTCATGGCAACTGTTCCAGAGTACTACCAAATTCTTGTTGATCTAAGATGCATTCAATCTCTACTGCAGTTAGTCGCACATGACAACACAGGTCTGTTAAAAGGACTAGAATATTGATGTTTCTGCTTTAGTAATGTGCATCTCATAAATTTATGGATATATAGAATTATATTGTTTGCAACTGAAAACATGTATGTTATTTTACATAAACATTGCAGTGATTTTCAAATACCTTTGAATAAACTGATATAATTTATTATGGAGGTAGTTTTTTTTAACATCTTGTACCTGCAAGTCTCTCCAGTATAATTGCCTAGCAGAATTGTTTCAATGCAATGGATTATCTCTATCATTTTTCAGATATTTCTATTGCTGTGATTGACTTGTTGCAAGAACTTACAGATCCTGATATTTTGAATGAAAATGAAGATACTGCAACAGTCTTAGTTGATGCACTGGTTAGTTAACCTGCAAGAAGATTCTTTAACAAAAAAAACAAAGTGATATTCAGCCACACATGCGGCAACTC